TGAACGCCTTAAAGAGATCTTCTCCCGACTGCGCTATCCAGACGACCTTGTGCAGTCAACCATTCGCCAATTCATTGAATCCAAAGTGTCCGAGGATTCACACACCCAAGTGGCTGATAAAAGAGAAGCCCCAATCAGAATCGTGTTGCCCTTCAAAGACCAGAAATCAGCAAACGTAGTACGTAAACAGCTGGCTGACCTGAGTAGGAAGATCAACGCAGACATCAGCCCAGTTTACACAAGTAGGAAGATCAAAGATGAAATTAAGGTTGGATGCCAGAGACTTTTTATGCGGGGTTTCCAGTTTCGGTCAATTCTTTATAGTGAGCGATGTGCACTAATTTTTCTAGCGCCCTCTCAAAATTTGACGGCCAAACATTAGTGTTTTTTCTTGAACCTATTTTCTCGTTATCCAGACGACGGGTATCACAGCTCGCGGGTGTGCGTGGTATCACCGGAAGAGACAGTTGTCGTTTTTGTACAATGTTTTTCTACTGATGTGGCGAAGACCTCAATTAGCAATTTCGGTCGAGTCGGAACCGCTTTCCCGGCGAACTTCACGAGCCAGGACCGTTTTGCTCTTCGGCAGCTACTCTGGCCAGATTTTTCCACGTAGAATTCGAAAGTAATACCGAGTTTGCACGTCAGATCGCTTGCTGTGCGTGATCGGTAGAGAAATGAATTACCCGCCAAGTTTAAAATTAAATGACGCCACTCTAACCGACCAATAAGGTGGCGTCCTTAAAATAACCACGCAGTATGACACAGAACCAAGAATAGATTGAAAATAATTTTCATGGGAAGAGGGTCATGTATGGGGGATGCGCTCTCATTCTCAGAACATTCTCTCTTGCACATTACAAAGGCTTTCCGTTGAAAGTAAAATCAAAATGCAAATGCATCATGTTCAAAAAGTTTGTTCGGTCACTAAGAATACTGTAAGTATTCGCTCGCCAATGTGAGGCTGAAGTCGTTCGAAAACTGGTCATTGTGTCTGACTCGAAGTCGCTTCCATCGTTCTTTCGTTGGTCTTTGAAAAAAAACTGAAATGGCCAAGGAGCTCGTCAAGATGATCAGGTGCATGGATGTTTGTTATCATATGTGACCCTCCACAGGAATTTGGTGCTAAAGGTGAAAGCACGCTCACGACACGCTTGTACGACACGCTTAGCGTGCCGTAGATCACGGATACGCGCATATTAAATTGAAAAAACAACGATGGACACACTTCCCTTTGTTTTGGTAAATTTAACGCGCTAGACCTTTGTTTTTTTGTAGCGTGCCATATGTCACGGTGAGTGCGCGAATTATAGCACGCTTTGCGTGCAATTTGGGTAAGACACGCTGAACATGCTTGATTACTGAAACTGTTAAGATGATAAAAATGGCTTGGGTTTTCAGCGGATATAATCAGCGTTGATAACTGGTCGAAGTGAATCAAAAATAGCAATTGAGAATGTTTTGGGATTTTAGCGTAACCGTAGCCATTTGAAAATCACCACTTAATGGTCGTCTAGCCTGGAATTAAGGCGAGATCAGTGTAAACCAATTCCTGCGGTTGTCGGCTGTTGACCGGAATCGCTATCGCAAGCGAGGCACTGAAGTTATGTCGCCTGAAAATTATAGTTATGCAACCGGAATATTTATTAGCAGTAATGCACATTGTTTAAATACCGGTTTCGCTTTTTGTGCTATTGCCGCCCGGATCAATTAAGCAACATTGAAACCGTATTGGAATTTGCAAATGTGTTTTAAATTAAGGAAAGTTAAAATAACCTTTGCACATCTTCGTCAGTAAACATTTCTGAAAAGAATTATACTTTTCAAGCGACAACGTTTTTTCAATCAGATACTACCGCTGCGATCGCTGAGGTAGAACTTTTCCTTTCTCGATAGTTACCAAAAAAGGGTGTCCGTTCATAATCATTTACCGTTCCTTTTTGTAGAGGAAATTTATTTAGCTTATAGATAACACGCCTTGCGTGCTTTTGCGCACACTGATAGCGTGTTGTGCTTTTTCGCACGGGGCTTTTGTTTGAAAACTTTAACACGCTCTTTTGTTCGACTTGCTCACACTTAATTGTCTCAAGCGTGTCCTCTGAGACAAAAGAAATTGCTAATGAGGCAAGATTGCAAGCGTGCTAGCGCGTGTTAAAATAAATTCTTTTTTGTTTTAAAGTGAAAGCATGTCGTGCGCGTTCTTTCACCTTTAGCATTAAAATCCTGTGGAGGGTCAGATATTTGTTGAAGAAATCGCTCGTTTTCTCTTTGACAAAAGGTGTCGAATCTCTGCTAGTAGATTTCGTCTTCTTAACTGTGAACTGCGATAAAATTTTCAAACACTGACTAGAATCCTCTTCTTCGAAAAGATAACGAATCAGTTTCTTCATCGCCTTTGTTCACAAATAATCACAGGTTTAAAATGTTAAAGGACGAGGTCAACATTCAAGTCCTCAAGGTTGGCAGACATCTTACAACTTTCGTTAAACCTTTTTTCGAGATTAAGAGATTTCGAGCTGCGAAGGGAGCATTTAATGTTGAGATATAGGTCCGTCTACCAAGTTACGGACTGCAAATTCGCATGGGGAAAACAGACTTGGCCATATAATAATGGCATCTTACGTACCAAAAGTAATGTGAATTAGCTGAAAAAGTTGACAGAACGTTCGTCATAGATCAATGCGCCTTTTTTAATATGGCAGTCACCTTAAGAACAAGGCATATATGCATTTTTAGTTTCATGTTTGGTTAATGTGAATATCTATCTTATTAACAAAAAGCTGGACACTAATTACGGAAAGGCCTTGACTGGTAGCTAGCAGAGTTGGTAGACGGTCCTTTTTTTCAGATTGAAAAAAATACACATTGTATAAAAGTCACAAGATTTACGGGAAACAATTTTGTAATACATTACGCTAGCACTATTTAATTTAATTATCATCGTTATTATTCTTTTTTATTCACGGCAAAATAGAAGATTGTGAGAGGTTAGGCTACCTCGAGTTACTGGCTGTAGTTGTTTACATCAAGCCAAGCAAAATACGGCGTAAATTAAGGTGGGATAGAGAGTTGACAATTTCGTTTGCAAGTGAATCAAAAGTCTTGGGTCCTTGAAAAAAACTGAAAACTAAGAATTGCAACAAAAGTGGCAGAAATATTGCTTGTTGGGACGGAGCTTAAACTGTCGTCCACGTAGAAATGTCCTAGGAGAAAGTCTGAAGCGTCGTCCAAACTCCTCTCTGAGAGTTTCTGCTGTTTTTGATGTAGGCAGAACTTCAAGGGGTAGCTACGCCAGGTGGCAATGCTGCACCAAAAGGGTGTACATTCATTCGGTATTCAACAACTGGTTTTGTGAGGTCGTTGCTTTCGGGCTACAGGAAGCGCAGAGAGTTCCTGTCCTTAAGGTTAGCATAAAAGCTGTGAAACATTTGCGCAATGTCACAAGTGAAAGAAACATCTTTTCTAGATCGTGTCAGCAATCCGATCAGGGAATTAAACTGATCTGGACTTTGGAGTAGATACGTTTTTAGGGACTCGTTCTCGAAGGCGGCACTGCAGGCAAACACGTCTTGGATCTGATCCGGTTTTCTTGGGTGGTAATTCGTGGAAGTGGGGAAGGTGCAATACTTTGCCTTCTGTGTGCTGAGTTGATAGACAGGAACTTGGCTGGCATGGTCATTATCGAGTGTCTTTTTCATAACGACTAAGTAGTATTTTCTAAGTTTGCTTTCATTTAAGAGCCACCTGTAAAGAGATAGAAAACTTCTTAAACAGTGCCCTTTATTGTCTGCTAAAGATAGATCATCAGATTTGAAGGGTACAGGTGCTTCCCAGCTTCCATTTGCCTTTTTTTGCAGGCCCATAGTGAGTATGTCTCCTAAGCGTTTATCTTCTATAAACTCCGCTTGTTCGGTTCCACAAACCTTGCGACTATGGTGAATCTTACTGTAATCAAGCTCCATCATTTCACGTACTTGTTTTGGACTGGTTAGGTCCTTAGTATTTGTTACGTCTCTAGGGTGGTGGTCTGGATGTTTCCTCGCAGCAATCTAGGAGTGTCTCTCTTTCCACTCTTACTCGATTGACCGGGCTCTTTATGTCTCATTTTTAAAGTCGCTTATGTACATTCGGGATCTTGAATAAATCGACTGTGCCTGTGCTACATGTGATGATGATTTATGTGGCCAAGAGAGAGTTGTTGAACGAGAGAAAGTGATTTTAGAGAAAAATAATTTGCAAACAGCCCAAGAGTGAACCAAATCTTACATCGAGTCGATAGCCTCATAAATTATGTACACCTAAAAATTGGCAATCATCTTCGATCACATTTAAAAGGCATAATGGCTCTTGATCACCGTAGATTAATTAGGTCTGGAAAAACAATCAGGCCGAATTTTTTGCGTTCGACAAGTTTACTTTGAAAAATCTTGCCAACAAATCTGGGTGCGTGTAAACCAACCTTTTATACCATTTATACATCACATCTGAGGTGAAACAGTACACAACGTACTGTTTTTATAATACAGACCTCGGACAGAATGCAGTATTTCACAATTTTGCAAAACAAATTGCACCCATTCAATATTCAGGACGATCAAAGCATGCGTGGGCTTTTAGCTAAACCGTTAAAAAAATTTCCAAAATCACAGAGACAACAATTTTCATCCAGGAACACAAGTATTTAAGTGTCGCTAAAATCCCGAGTCTTCAAGCTTAAAGATGTTTTAAGCCGGCTTCCAGGTGTTTGCTTTTTTAAAAGATGAACTCAAGAAAATCGCTCGAAGCTTTCTTTTGATCTTTCTTTTACAGCCAGAATTATTACTAAATATTATTTTGAACGTTTTCTTTCTATTTGTGGTGAGAAAATGTCTAAAGGCTTTTTAAAGGTCCGTAAGCTTATATCAAACCTGATACTCGGTCAGATCATTGTCTCAAATCTTACAAACGTACATAAACAAAATAGCCGCATAAACTACGCTCGACTTCATTAAATTAGATATAAAAACAAACATCAATTATCATGCGATAATTACTCAGGCTTACCTTTCGAGATGCAGCCCCTGAAAGGTATCAAGTAAGTCCAGAATCGCTTCAGACTTTTCAACCCTCTTTACGCATCAACCAAGGTGAAAAACGAAAACAATGCCACCCGAAATCGGATTTCCGACTATGACAAGTAACGTATTTCTCAACCAAATACCCAGTAAACAAACCAGCCCTGAACAACAGAAGACTCTTGATAGCAGCTGAATTTCATTTTTTACATCCAGTGGAAAAGACAGTTAAAGACATCACAAGTTGACACAAAACTCTGTCGGCTTCAGCTGTCAAAGTAAACAAGATTCAAGATGCTGCATAAATTTTCCGCATCTCTTTCGGGCACCTCGACATAGTAGGGTGCTGAAAGGTCCGTAGCTTAGTGGTAGTGCATCTGGACTGGTAACCAGAAGATCACAGAGGCGGCTCCATTCAGAGGCGAGCCACCTGTGTCACTGACTGACAAAACATCTTTCTCATGTATTCACCAGGCACAAAATTTATATTTATCCTTACCAATTTTGTCAAATTCGCCATTTTCGTCAATTTTGCAGCGTGAGCGAACATGCTACAGCATTGTGTTGTGTAGACATTATTTGGCCACAAAAGAAACCGCCAGAAAGGTTGACGCTTTTTGCAGCGTGATTCCGGCCTAGGGAAATGGAAATCAGCGGGGAAATTTTTAACATTTGTTTTGTTACCCCCAAAAAAGGGAAAGACAAAATTTGGTTAGTGCTGCGCGCATTGGAAAGTTAGCGAGATATGTGGGTGCCGTCTTTGCACTGAGGCCTTCAATAAGAACGTATTCAATGAAACGCTTCCAGATCGACTCTCGGCAAGGACAGTACATATGATGAAAGACTATCTTAACTAGGATGGATTGATTTGAAAACCCGTCGTCTTCGTTTATTGTCCTTTTATTGACTTGTTAGGTCCACCAACCATCACAGGCGTATCTACTAACCAGACAGCAAATGAGGGAGATGTGGTGACGCTTAACTGTTCAGCTGATGGTAATCCACCTCCAAACATCACTTGGACAAGACTCTCTAGTAACAGTCACGTCACCTTTCCTCTGGTCGTCAGAAGACACGATGAGGGAGGTTACAGATGCAGTGCTGATAATGGTGTTGCCATTAAAACCATTGATGTCTTCATCACTGTGCAATGTGAGTGAGATTAAAGTAACAATACGTATCTCGCAATAACCCTCCCGAAACTCGGTTTAGTAGAGGAACCCAAGTTAAGCCCTGTTGGGCGGTGTTAGGAACTGTATGGGGCACCCACCATTCATTCATTCATTCATTCATTCATTCATTCATTCATTCATTCATTCATTCATTCATTCATTCATTCATTCATTCATTCATTCAGTCAGTCAGTCAGTCAGTCAGTCAGTCAGTCAGTCAGTCATTCATTCATTCATTCATTCAGTCAGTCAGTCAGTCAGTCAGTCAGTCATTCATTCATTCATTCTTTATTTGCCATATATACAAAATTTTACAACGCAAGTGCTGGAATAATACGATTAAAGAAAAAGTAAATGGCGAGGAGACCTGAAAGAAACCACGAGGCTTATAATGAGTCAGGCCTCCTCAACTTGGGATAAACTAGTCTTGATAATATAATTACAATATGGGCTTATGATGGCTAACTTTGACCGCGGACTCACATACACACATATACACACACACACACGTGCTAAATTAATTAATCCAATAATCTACTTAGAGCCATACTGAAGCTAATACGTACTAAGAAGGAATTCGTTAAGCTTTCTTTTAAAAGAAGCAGAGGAGAACGAACCAGTTATAGCAGAATTTAGCGAATTATAAAACTTTGGACCTGGGAAATAAATTGAGAACTGTCTGGTGTTCGTTCTGCATAGTGGCAAGCGAAATAAGTGGGCGTTCCTAGTATTATAATTATGGATTTGACTGTTTATTAGGAAGAGGTTATTGAATTTGGAAGGGAGTGAATAGTTCTTGAGTGAAAACATAAGAAAATCTAATTGAAACGAATGGATATCATGAAATTTTAAAAGTTTAAGCTCCTTAAAGGTGGGACTAGTGTTGGCATCGTAGGTAGAGTGTTCACTATTCTTAGCGCACGTTTCTGTAAGATTACAGTTCTTTGAAGGTTCGCTTTATAGGTTTTTCCACCCCAAGCTAGATTGCAATAGTATAAGTATGGAAGTATCATTGAATTGTACAAGGCACGGAGAGATGGAGTTGAGAGAAAAAACCTAGACTTATGAATGATTCCTATGGATTTTGATAATTTACTGGCTAATAGAGATATGTGAGGCTTCCAGGTCAGATTATCATCCAAAAAGACACCCGAGAACATGGTTTCAGAAACACGAAGGATAGGCTGCTCGTTTATAGAAACTTGAAATTCAAACGATTGCCTTTTTTGTCAAGGCTTAAATACCATAAAATCAGTCTTGGATAAATTCAAGGATAGCCGGTTTGCGGCAAACCAGGTTTACAATTTGTTTAATTCTCTATTTAATGTATTAATTAGGTAAACAGGATCATTGTGAGAGATAAATAGGTCTGTATCATCAGCAAACAAAATTGTATCAGGCATGGAAGCGTTGTTCAAATCATTAACGTACAGGATAAAAAATAAAGGACAAAGAATAGAGCCTTGAGGCACCCCACAGGAAATCCCCTGTGGGGAAGACCTAACATTGTTAAATTCGACAAATTGTTTCCTCTCCGAGAAATAACTTTTTACCCATTCTAGTGCCATACCACGGAACCCATAATGCTCCATGACATGACATGATTTACCGTGTCAAATGCTTTCGAAAGATCTAAAAATACTTCAATAGCATGTTCTCTTCTATCAAAAGCAGAAGAAATTTTATCACACAAGTCGATAAGCGCGAGGCTAGGGGAACGATTTTTCCTAAAGCCATATTGATTATCACAAAGTACATTGAAGTCATTGAGATAATTTATGATACGGTTGTAAATTATTCGCTCCAAAGACTTTGAAAAGCAAGGTAGAACTGAAATAGGTCTGTAATTACTGAAGAGAGCTTTGTCACCTGATTTAAAAATAGGAACCACACGAGCAATTTTCAATTTATCTGGAACGATACCGTGGATAATAGAGAGATTTATAATGTGAGTTAAGAGGAAATGCTGCCAATAGATCGTTTTATAATAGACATGGGAATGTTGTCATACCCTGCCGATTTTCCCGCTGGAAACGTGCATGCAATATCTACAATCTCCTTCTGAGTTGCTAAATTTAGGAACATAGACTGAGGGAAATCGCCCAAAAGGAAATTTTTATGCGAAGTGGCAGACGCATATCATCGTGAAGGTACATACTTTGTTCTTTCTTTGTTCTTCTTCCTTTTTTGCGTATTATGTGGTGTTATTTTGAAAAGTGTATTTTAAAGCATATTTAGCATTATTTCGGCCGCCGGCAGTGCAGTTCGAATACTTCGGGCCGTAGTACAGAGCTGAAACCTTGATCTATATATCAGGGGGGAAGCCGGCAAACTAATAAATTCGGGATTTCCACAGGGTAAAACGAATTCCAAACTAGACTTAAGCGAAAAAAGACAAGGCTTCGATGGTAATTAAAAGGCCAAACTGAGACGCACTTTGGAGAAGCATCGCGCGACATATTCATAAGCAAACTTGTCTGCAAAGTGACTTTGTTGCTAGGCAACTGCGGATACCAAACCGATAGAAAGAAAGATTTATGACAGATTGAAGCAAAATAACAGCCTACTCAGGATGATGTTACGCTGCTGACGTCAATGGGCCCTTCACCGATAGTAAACATTTTTTTCACAGACAATGATTTACACATTAGCTCCTGATGAATAAAACATGAAAGTGCAGTGTCATCGATAGCAAACCGGTTCTCACTCCTTGATCTCACACTGGTGGCGTCAATGGGAACGCCGTCGTGACTTTGTTGCTAGGCAACTGGGGATACCAAAGGAATAGAAAGAAAGATTTATGACAGGAGCAAAATCGCATTCTACTTACGATCCTCGCGAGCGACAAAATCATATATTCGCTTTTGCGAGGCGCCTCGCACCTCGCCTCGCTCGAAATAATTCATGAAGTATGCTGGTGTAGAACGGATTATGTTCTCAGCAGTAAAAAACATGTATGGTATTGACTTTTTTACCTACATATGTAAGCTTGACAGGTCTAGGGGCATAGAGTAGAAATTTGGGAACCTATGGATCCGAGAAAATTTGGTTATGACCTCAGCGTACGCCCAGAAGACCATCGATACAGACGCTGATGGTAGTGGTAAAAAACTCGGTACGGTAGGGAAGGGAATACTACATGTGCACCTTGCGTTTCGTTTTGGCGCAAAATTGTAGCCATTTTAGGGGTAACCAACGTATTTGCTACAATGAAAAATCTAGATTGATTTTTCTCGTGCTCGACTGACGACTGACGACTATTTGGTCACGGTTTTGGTCGCGTCCCAGGAGCTACCTAGTCTCCCTTTGTTTCCCCTTTCGCCGCTTTATAAAAAATCATTGAAAATGAAAACGTATGCAAAATCAAACATATAGACGTGGTCAGGACTAAAAGAAAAGCTCTCGTTAATATTTACATTTAAAATATAAAATCGTGTAATGCTAATCGGCGACGGCAAAGAAAACGGCTAAAAAAAATCAGTAGGTCTAATTAGCAAAAAAAAAAAAAGGTTTGCACAAAATGTCGCCCCGGATTGACTTGTAAACATAAGACATTCGCCCTCACTGGGGCTCATCAGCATGGCATAGCCGTCGGTCAGTGAACGCGGAAAACCCGTGTTTTTTTTGTAATTTGGCGGTCTGAGGGGCGTAGTGCGATGCCCCAAGGCCATAAAAACGAAGGGAGCGAAACTAATCCGACAAAACGAAAACAAAACAGGAGTAAGAGATCGCCAAAATGGGAGGGGGCACCTCCAAACGGAGCCAGCCCGCCAACCTTGCCACGGAATCGAACCCCGCCTCCCAACTAGTTGAAATACTACCAAAAGACTATATACAGCATAAAAGACTATTTACAAATCAGAGAAGAAAGAGCATACACAATCGAGCCACACTCACTCAAACCTTTCTCAAAAAACAACAGTGCAGCCAACAAAGGCGACCGAGGAAGCAAAGAGAAGGAAGAGACACACTCAAGCAAAACCAGTTCAGAGCCAAGAAAACCGCAGTACAGCCACCAAAGGTGATCGAGGGGGGCAAAGAGGAGTGGACACTCAGGACCAATCCCAAAGAGACCACAGTACAGCCAAAACAAAGGCGACCGAGTAGACCAAGGGAGAGGGAGACACACATTCGGACTACGAAAGACAGAAATGGAAGGAGTCACCAACGACTTCACCGATACAGCTAAAAGCTCCCCAATGACGTTGGAAGAAAAGGCGCCTGCGCCGAGAACGAAACCGTTTGAAAAGCAAAGGCAAATAAAAAGACAGGCGACCCTTGATACTAGCAATGAGCCCCACGGCACTGAAAACGTCGGTAAAACAAAAATAAATTTGCGTTCTTTCAAACTTAATCGCGTCTATTTGGACCTGCTCAATATGCCAAATAAAGGCGTCTTTTCCTGGAGTTGAATTCTTAAGGATTTTATTCAGGTTCAACAAAGGTAAAGGAAAATTTGTCGTTGTATGTCCACGTCCTCCATAAAACGTCAAATTAGGAGGTTTCATGTCGTAGTCGTGGAGTGGACGTCAAAGAAAGGTTCTAAAAAGCGTGATGCACGTGCAGAGTTGTTGTTTCTATCATTAAACCTATTGTTTTTTGACGTCGTCGTTGTGGTCGTCGCCGTAGCTGCTTAAGCTCCCTATTATCAGGATAACAACGGACATATAGCAGCGAGCACTTCCATGGAGAGGACATACAGTAGGGGGGACAAGGGACAACCCTGACACACCCCACGGGAAGGCTTGAAAGGGCGAGAGGTGAAACCATTGACAAGAACGGAACTGCGAACGACTCTGTAAAGGATCTTGACCCACCGGATAAAATTGTCACCGAGGCCCATTTTAGCCAGGGTAGCGAAGAGGAAAGGCCAGTCGACGAGATCGAAAGTCTTCTCTTGATCAAGAGAAAGGCGGACGACTGGCAAATTGTACTCATTGGTCAAATCGACTACATCACCAAGAAAGGCAATTTTCTCAACGATCGGTCTGGCACACCACAGGTCTTGGCCTGCGAGCAAGCTCTCCATTTGTGGGATATCATGAAAAGCAGAGGCGCGAAGGGCACGCGAGAGGAGACGCGAAAGCGAATAGCGGGGTAGAGAAAGGAGAGCTTGCAATCATTTCCACCCCGGAAACCACGGGACATTGCAAAGCCTGAAAACTGTCACCGCAAACGTGCCGCAGATTAGAAAAGTGACAACCGCCTGTCAAGTTTAGACAGCAGAGGGCGCGTAGAATTTATTTGTTCATTTAATCGCTTCCGCAACAGCTTTCCATCAAAGCAATGTTTTTGACCACTGATATATTTTTTTATCCACTGGACATCGAAATTCAACGTGTCTGCTCGAATAAGATCTGAATCTTTCTGAATTTTTCTACCCAGTGAAATTCAATCGGGCCAAAAAAAAGGACGTTGGAAGACAGCGCTTGAAATCTCTTCACTTTCACTCTTCTCATTTTCAGAACTAAACAAGGTGCTTGGCACAAACGAATACAGCTGAAGGGGGGTTCTGATTTTCCTTTCACAAGAACTACAAACACGGTCCGACTTATCCTCGGCTCGCAATATTCTATTGGCAATCCCACACTTCACACGTACAGCTTTGCGAGAATCGCATCAAACGAGCCCGTCTACTTTGAGCGCTGAAAAAAGTTCTCGGTTCCCATATGATCCCCCTAAGATCCAAATTTGACACACAGACGACAGTTCTCTTACAGAAAGAGAAAGCGATTTTCTTCCTCTGTCGGTCTTCTTTTTCATAGTGAGTTCGACACAACACTGGTTTTGGCGATAAAAGCATCGTGTTTCTACATTTTCCGCTAAAATTTAGGGTAGGCCAGCTGAGCCTGTTAACCAACTTGATTTCCGGAACGTCATTTTCCAGCCTATGGTAATTCCCTTCGTCTGAGCGAAGTACAAATGAAAGTTTATGAGAGATCGTTGCAAACTCTCCTTTCCTCGGCCCCTCGCGGCTTCGCTGCTAGCTCGGGCATTCTCGCGCGGCTCGCTTCGCTCGCCAAAATAGGAGAGCTCTGCTCGCAGGATACACAGGCCTGATCAGGGACGTAGTAATAACTTTTAAGAGACGGCCAGCCCGACACGAGCACAGACCTTGTAATCAACGTTAACGAGGGCTAATTGGGCGCCAGTTCTTATGTTCCAGCCAATCACCCTTCTTGAAAATCAATGAGTGCCTCACGCTGAAAAAAAGGCAGGAGGCCAGTCTACAGAGAAGCATTAAAAACGTCCACAAGATCCCCACTAAGCAATTTCCAGAAAGCAACATAAAACTCTATTGGCAGGCCGTCGGAGTCCGGAGACTTGCCCTTAGCTATGCCAAGGAGAGCTGCATGAGCCTCGTTAGACGAGACTGGATCGTCACAAGAGGCAGCATCATCGACAGAAAGAGATAAAGAGAGACAATTAAGAAGATCCGACTGGACCTCGAGATCAACTAGACAGGCTGTAAAAAGATCTTTGTAAAAAGAATGCCAAGGCTCGCAGATGGAGACATGCATTGGAGAAATCCAACTCTCGGCTCCCCACTTCTCTTCCATCCTCAAGAAGAAACGCGAGGAGGTTTCACCCTCTTCAGCCCACTTGATACGGGAGCGAACCCACGTTCCTGCAGCCTCAGCCAAGTCGAAAGCCGCAAGTTGAGCAAGAAACCGCTTATACACCGGCATAAGAGATACAACCCCATCATCGACTCTACCCTTCGGATGACAGGCAAGGGCAGAGAGAACGGAGCGCGACAGAGACCGTTCGTTACGAGCATTACTAACATGGCGGACCGCAAGGCTTTTGAGATGTTCTCTGCCACGGTCCCACAAATCCTGAAGAGATGGAAAAGAGCGCTTACGAAACCTGCATCTAGGCCAGAAATCACTGACAGCTTTGATAAAGGCAGGATCCTTGAGAATAGAGACATTCAGTTTCCATCTGCCAGGACCATGAAGAATGCGTTCAGGGATAGAGAAACCAAGAAAAACAGCATCATGATCAGAAAAAGAACATGGAACAATAGAACAGGAAGACACAAGATGAAGCCAGATAGAAGGTAAGCCAATGAGGTCAATACAGGAGGACAAGGAGCCATCGGGTTTTAGCCAAGTTTAAGCACGAAGATCAGGGTGGAGATGACGCCAAACATCTGTAACACAAAACTCCCGGAAAAGTAGCTTCAAGGAGACAAAACCCTCACGGACAGTGATAGCAGGATCAGAGCCTCGACGATCTTTGGCTCTGTCAAAAACAGTATTAAAATCGCCACTTAATATCGTGGGAACAGATGGGTCAGCAAAGTCCAGTCATGAAGTGAAAAATTCATCGCCCTCAGGGTTCCGGTCAGGTGCATAGACTGATGCAACCCGAATCACTCTATCCCTCCTACAGAACTCTGCCATCAGAAAGCGTCCTTCACGTTCAACCGAAGAGTTGACAATAGAAAAGTTAGGACGATATAGAAGGACCTGGCTGCGGGAGTGAGCAGTTCCCGGGGCCGTAAAAGCCAGAAACCCAGAAGAGGAGAACCACGAGGTGGCCTCAGCAGCATCAGTAAGATGAGTCTCTTGGAGACAGACGAAATCACATGACAAGTGGCTCAGCCACTGCAATAAACCAGCATGCTTAATGGGATCACGGATCCCATTAACATTGAGAGTCAAAAAATTGAATGCAGCTGTTAGGGAAGAAAACTACAGATCAAGCTCCACAAGGGAAGCACTTCGATGAAGACTTGGTTTGCTTGCAACAACCTGCGACAGAGCGTACCTGCCAGACAGAGGCTTCAGAAGCGGGGACTGACGGACACCAGTAGTCCCACGCAAACCTTTAGCTTTAACGCAAAGACTGTGCCCCTCATAGCGAGCTCCAACTTGGCCAGAAGGAGGGGGGACAGGACGCATCCTAAGAGCGAACGTCGCTCTCATCCGTAGCATCAGAGAAGTCAACTGGAGGATCCGTCACAAGCGGTTTAGAGGCATCCTCCGAGAAGAGGGTGGTGAGTGATGAAGAGGAAAGAAAGTCCTCGAAAGACTCTATTCCATCAGAACTGAGGTCAGCAGCCTCACCCTCATCAATGACCTCAATTAAAGGCCTTCCACGATTAGCCGCATCAGCACCAGCCATCTCAGATACAACAACATCCATCTTAGCAACATTTTCATCACTTACGGCATTTAAGCTCTCATAACTTTTATTACTATTAACACTAATATCATTACCTTTATTTGATCTTTCAGTACTTCTATAATGAACCTGTATTAAGCGGACACCCTTGGGGAATGCTGTAGTGTCCGCTTAATACAGGGTGTCCACCTAATACAGGTTTCGATAGATAAGGTCATATGAGGTGTCAAATGTGCAGGGGAAAGGTTAAGAATACTCCCAGAGATTTTGACGATATATGTTTGCATTAATTTCTTTACCAAAGTGGACCAGTTGATCATAATACCATAAACATAGGTTGCAACTGAAATTTGAAGAAATCAGATGAGTGAAACAAGCTCTATACAAAAAAACGAAATAGAAAACAATACTGTACTGTGAAGCTAATCAAATATGTTCGTCAAGTCACGTTTTTTAATGTATAAATAGAAAAATTTGTGGGCGGCAATTCGAGGCAATCTTCGCATTTCCGGGGTCTGGCGTGTTGGGTGGTGGCATTTGATTACAAGTGTCCGTTTAATACAGGTTGGTAACATAGAAATGACCATTTCAGGTACTTTTTAAATATTCGCTTCCGCTTAATAGAGGTATCCGCTTAATAAAGGTTTCATTTAGAGCAAATAAGGGAAATAAATTTTGGGACTTCGGCTACTGTCCACTTAATAGAGGGTGTCCGCTTAATACAGGTTTTACTGTATTATTAATAACTTCCTTTGATCTTTCAATGCTATTTGCACTACTATTATTATTAATGATTGCTTTATTGGATTGCTCATTACTACTATCCTTACTAATATTATGTACTGCAGAACTTTCATTATTTCCTTTACTAGTAATACTTAATTCATCAGAATTTGCAACAAGAGAGGTAAACTCTTGGCTGTTGGTAAAACAAATATTGACAACAGAACTTGGAACAAAATTACTTCTTTTGTCAGATGAGCCCTTGTGTTTCTGGGCTCTTTTGGAGGTTTTTCAAATAGACCCTTCATCAACAGAACTACCAGCAGGATCTAAGTCCCGCAGAATTGACTGACTCTGGACCAGATCAAGTTCGTTATCCTTAAAGAACTGTGAATCAACAGTCATTAGAGACAGAAGAGGCATTAGAGCCACCTGTTTCTGCAGCCTAGGCGGATGAGCCAAGGGGCGGAAAATCTCCGGAATCTCCCGCCGACTAAACAGAGGTAGAATCTCGGGCAAAATGCCCGGTTCGCCCACACTTCCTTCATTTGTCCTTATTTGGGCAGGTAGCCGACTTGCGCCCCTGAACAGCGTAAAGATTGCAGACAAAGGGCTGACCCCCGATACCATAAACGACACAAGTAACCGTCAACTATTAGAAAACGGGGCAACACCCCAGACAGGACAATGTTAACTAGCTTGGTACCATTAAAGACGTTGGGGTTAGACACATAGGTCTGCTTTTTAACGGACTTAACCGTACCAAAAGCGTCAAAAGCAACCTCCAATGATATGTCATCCTCTTCAAAAGGGTAGTCAAAGACGTGCACGCACGTAACAGGGGGGCCGCCCCCAAGATGGAACACCATAACCCAAAAAGGTGCTTACCCGAATAAGATTTGGATGCCCGGAAATGCTCCGGAGTGGCAAATGTGACACGGACAACCTCATAGGCGACCTGGATGGCTTTGACTTCCAGGCCGGCGAAAACCCGAAGAACTTCGCTCATAATTTCATCCTTCGACTTATCGGCCAGCTTGCGACCGACCCGCAGGGTAATTGGTTTTGGCAGACGCATAATGACGCAGCCGACAATAGCGAAAAACCAGACACGAAAAGCGAAGAAAAGGGCGAAAAAGCGAAACGGGAAAAATTAAAAAGCGGAAAGGTGAAAAAGCGAAAACGGCAAGAAGCGCAAAAGCAAAAGGCGAAATTAGAAAAAAAGACGAAAGTGAAAGATTGGAGTCAAAAGTCGCTAATCCATACGAAAGTAAAGACATAACAATCGGTGGCGGAAGGACACCAATAAGAAAATAGACAAACAATGTATGCCGAAGACACCAATTGAAAGCACAAAAAACACAAAAAGGTAAATTAGAATCCAAAGGACACCAATCTACAATAACAACGCAATTAGTGGCAGGAAGACACTAATTGCAAGAAAAAATCTACAATTTGCGTAAAAACGCCAATTGCCAGAGGACCAAGTAATTTGTGTCCAAAAGACGCCAAAAAACTTGCGACACAAAGCAAAAGCTATACACAGCACAGCAAAAACAACTAACAAACTAGAAAAAGTAGGTTAGAGAAAAGGGAAAACTTACAAAAGTTAAGCCCTGACGGAGGTGGAACCAAAAGTGACGGGCGCCCGTATCCACGCAGGACAGAAAACGGATGAGAGCCCAAAACCAGTCACCAATTTTTACCCAACTGGCCAGACTACCAAGTACGATGCAACACAGGAAACCACGAACAAACAGGAGCCGGTGTCCATAAGGAAACAAACACGCCTCGAAAGTCGCAGCCAAACTCACCTTAATGACGGGAATGTAGACCCAAACGGGTATAATTCCGCGCCGCGAGCCTTGGGAAAACCGGTGTAAAAAACAACCTTTCCTGCAGAAGCGAGTTCCTTAAGTGTCAGCTCCACACAACACACGTGGGAGCCTTTGACTGGGAACCGCACGGCAGTTCTTCCACGACATGCGCGGGGAAGGCGTATCATGGATTTTGTGTATGTGTGCCCTTTGGTCTAATTTGTCTTTTGAAAATAGTGAACTTAACTGTTCTCCTGCATAAAGAATTAAAATCCCGACTTTACATAGCAAATGTTTCGAGATGTTAAAGTTCGTGTTTTTGTCCGAAGTTGTGCACAAGTAATTTTGCGTGAAATTTAGTGAACTTATAAGCAAACTTAAAATACTCGAAAATCATATTAAAGTCCGCGAATATTCAACGTACAGACTTATATTTGGTCTCTTTTTAAAGCCCAAAAAATATGGTGCGCCAATAATGCCTTCCGAATTATTTTGCTTCAAAGACACGAAAAGTTCGCGGCGTTATTATTTTTCTTGGCGGCATGTAATAAAAATTCTAGCGGGCAAATGCGACAGATATAGCGTAGGATGGGAATGATCCACCCGACGATTGGTTGAAGACGGGATAAACACGGACCTCACAAACACGCACACGGCTCGTGGATTCTCTGATCTGTATCACGTGTTCTCTCGAAAACAATGGATTACATCATGGTTGCCTTACATTACTCTGTGTTACATCGATTCGAGATTTTTTCTGCCCCTGGAACAATCGCGCACGGCTCTATTAGGCTGCCCCCTCGCAGCCTCGCGTCTTCGCGAGGCTGCTAGATGGCAATTATTTATTTAAATATGCAGCATACAGTCCGTGCCACAACCAGAACTGGATATATGATTTCTGGTCCTCTGATTGGCTTACGCAAAACCAAGACATTGCTTAGACCGCAAAAGGACTGAGGCCGAGAGAAATGGCGGCGATGTCGCGTCTAAAGCTGCTCCAAAGATACTCATGATACGATAAAATCCTTCCGATCTATCGATCTCTCGACTTTAAGAACTTGCGGAAAATTCCATCGAAAAGTAGTTTTCTTTATTTTTCTTTACTGGAATTACGTGACTCGCAGAAGCCCGCGAACTATAAGCTTTAATCAGTAACCTTGTTTACGACTTCTTCGCACGATGTAGGCCCCCTGATCTCAAGTTCTCAATTCGGGAGAGCCTAGGAAAGTGAACGCTACCTTATAGCGTGCATATATACGCTAAACAAGCGTAATTTCGGCCTTGATTTGCCTGATTTCACAAGGTGATGTAGGCCCCCTGATCTCAAGTTCTCAATTCGGGAGAGCCTAGGAAAGTGAACGCTACCTTATAGCGTGCATATATACGCTAAACAAGCGTAATTTTGGCCTTGATTTGCCTGATTTCACAAGGGCTGTTGAGGAAATGTAAATTTTTCCCGACATTCTTATTTCAATGTGCACTGGGATGGTGAATATTATTGTCAGAAGATGATGTTTCAGGTGCCTTAAGCAAATTCTTATTAAGTCCTTGCTTATAATAAGAAAGTAGGAAATAAACATGTGAATGTTTATTAATTGTTCAGTTTTAAAAATTGTATGTCACTACAGTTTTGATTTCTAAAAAAAACCATATAACATTTTAACATCCCCATTTGAGCTAGTATCGTTCTCAGATACTTCTCCTCTTCTGTTTACAATTGTTGCAAGATTTGTATTTTGTACACAAGCATAGGTTACAATCATTCCACTAAAGGTTAAGCAAATAACACCACTCACTATAAAACCGTCACTTTATTATGGTTCCTCTATCGTATCTGCATTTTCCTCTTTTAAAGCTTCATTGTCATAAGCGGAAAGAAAAAAATAATTATAAAGTTAGTCAGGATGGACACATATTGATTTTAATGATAGTTATATTTTTTTGACAGCTATTTTTTCATATCATAGCGAAGATATCACTGTTTCGTCAAAGCCACCCACGCCAAATTCTCGCCATTTCCTCCTGCTATTTCCCTCTCAAAAACTTGTGCAAAATAATTGCCCATAAGAAGTCAAGCAGATACGACCAAAATACTAGAAAGAGGCTACAGGGAGTTCAGGATATCAATACCCATAAATGACTGTTCAAATAGATTTAGACAGATACAATAGACCAACAAAACAAAAGCTTCCAGATTTAAATGCATTGAGGTTTTTGTTTAAAATAAGCAACAGATAATGTAGAGTTTTTTACCAAGTATACTTTTGTACCCTCATTACCAAAGCTACATGTATCAAACTGAATTTTATACTTTTTATATTTTCCATGTCTTGAAATCAATCAATGAAAGACCCCATGGACCGAATTAGTATGGATAATAACAAGATTTGTAGTGATATGTTTCATCCACTTCTGTGTAGTAGTGGGTTATGCAGGTCACTTTGGTTCTTTAGTTCTTATTCTTAAAAGAAAATAGAATATTTTTAATTATAATTGATATTGTTAAGAGCCCGCGATATTAGTAAAACTCTGCGGCGCATGGGAATGATTTTAGACTCAAGAGTAGGACCTGCCATCTTTATTGTTGTTGGTTTTGTACTGAAATACATCTAGAGTGTTACTTGCTCAGCTCTCCAGGACTTGTCTCATTTGCTACATGAGTCATACGGTGTGCAAAGGGTCTGTGTTTGCCAGACTATTTTTCGCGGTAATGCTCCTTTCTTTAATCACCAAGTTAAGTTATTAACAAAATATTTTAAAGTAGTGTTGGAGCCGATTCCTCATGTTCTTTACTGGCGACACAGAGGTTTTTGGAACTGTAAACCCCGTTCTTTAACCCGCGATGGTGTCCACCTTAATCACTTAGGGCACTACAAATTTTTCCGTAGCTTGAGAGGGGCAGTGTTGCAATGTTTGCGATCTCTCCAGGCTAGCGGGTAAAGTTTCGTCATTGGCTCGATTTGATTCAATTTACGTTTTGTCTATTAATCCACTTTGCTTTTCCTTAGTTATCCAATTTGATCCAATTTAAATCACTTTGGATAATCTGATCAAATTTGTTAAGTGAGAATGTCATGCAATTGAAGAGCTATATTTTTTCGCGAGGCCGATTGTCATACCAGGCCCACTGTTTCTTGCGGTCTCGACCGTGATAGTGCGGCTTTGGTGCCATTTACTCTGATGCTGTATGTGTTCAGCACCTCTGTCAAAGCATTTGTTTTTGACAGTAGATTTGTGTTCAAGTCGCGGTTGATACAAACCGTGACATATTATGGCCGTCGCGTTGTTGCTTTGTGCTATCACTTTGCCTATTCAGTGTACAACCCATTGATCGCCCTTTCAAGGGTGTGCCCAATGCACTTGGTATTCTGTGATTTTGCACTTGTTTTATTTCTGGCCGGAATTGCATTGTATTCTACGTTTCTCTTTAAATTATCTTGGTTTTTTTATATTATTATCCGTTTTGTTATTGCACCCTAGCCTTTAGGTAATTATTGTTCGAGCGGGTGCTCCTCTCAACAGCTATTTTATCCCGTTCTTCAGACAAAAATGCTTGGCGGCTGAAGACAAAACTGCCTCCTTTACTTTAATGGTCACACATACCGCGTAGTTCTCTGTTTGTATTTCTCATATTTTACTACCAATTCTATTCTGTATAAGAGATGCCTCCTAGCAAGCGTTCCTCCACTAATACTTCTGCAGGCACCGCTCCTAGAGCAAAAAGGAGTCGGTCCTCCACGGCCACGTCGATGGCCATTTCCGACAGTGTCGCACTACCAGCTAGCGACGCCACGTCGAGTTCGAGCTTAGGCACCGTGTCGATTGATGTTGCTGCCCTGTCCGCCACAGTGTCTGCCGTCGTAACAGAAGCCCTTAAGACCTACCTCTCGTCCGAAATCTTGGCTGGTATTTTAAAAAACACTGGACCCCCTATCCCGTTGGAACCACTGGCCTTGGAATCCTCCAGCTCTGTGGGCGCCGCCTTAAATACTGAGGTAGCTGATATTCTTCTGGACGGTCACGCCTCAGGTACAAGCAGGGGAGGCGCTCCCACTACTTTAAACGGCTCTCGGCCACAGAGCACCTTCACGAGCATCTCTGTGCCTCTTAGCTCTAGGGTTAGTGCTTAATTGAAAGCCAAAATATTCGCGAACGAATATGTATATTTTGGGGCTTTACTTTCTCCTTCCCGTAACAACGAAAGGGAAATATTCACTTTCCATGGCCCCTTCAGATGGGGCATCTAGTCGACCCCAACGCACCCTCGAACCGTTAAAAAATGCGAAACGCATTCAGTCTATTTGTTTCCGTTTATTCCGAGAAATTTACTGCAGAAACCCCACGGTTAATGAGATACTGTGAAGTTGTAAGGGATTTAGCTCAAGAAGCTGGGGATTGGATTTGGTATGACAAACAGTTCCGCTATTTAAGGCAAACTGCCCCCGGAGAAATACCCCTGGGATCGAATTCACTGGGAGTTGTGGATAGGAGCGTCTAGTAGTTTTCGCAAGACACAACCACTCACCAACAAACAATCGCAACTGGGCCGCTCTCGTTTTCGTTCGCATTTTTTTTCCAAAAGGAACTTCTTGGGCCCTTTTAGGCTGGAAAGCACTGCACGGGTTGTCAGTTCACCCATGAGTGTTTTAAGTGCGGAGCAAAACACCCAGGTAGTCAATGTTCCTCACCGTCTCCACAAACCCGACCCAATTTCGGTTCTAAAGGCCCACGAGGAGGAACCCAAATACAGGGTCCTTCACAGCCTGCCGGTAACCCCCGTAAACGTGTAACGCCTTGAATTTTTGTGACACGGTTATAATCCTGCCTCAACACAATATCTTATCGAGGGTTTTAGTTTGGGTTTTCGCATCAATTTTGTCGCTGAACGGTGTACCATGGATTCTCGAATGGTTGTTGGTGATGCGACGAAGTCTATACAGCGCATAGGGAGAGGTTTTATGGCCAAAACTGATGTGAAGTCTGCTTTTCGCATCATTCCTATATATCCATCCTGCTGACTATCCCTTACTGGGCATACGCTGGAACAATATGTATTACTTCGACCGGGCTCTTGCCATAGGGTTGTCTAGTTATTGTGCTATTTCTGAATCCTTTAGCACCGCCCTTGAATGGGTATCCCTGAACCTTCTCAATGCTTCCGCAGTTTTACACATCTTGGACGATCTTC